AACTTTTAGAACAAAGACTTGCACAACATGAACTTGATTTGCAAAAAGATATTGTTGGTATTATGACTAACAGAGCAAGTGTGATGAAAAAAGTTAGAAGAATATTATTTGTAAATCAACAGTTATGTTTTGCCCATAGTGTGCAACTAGCCTATTATTGAAGTACAATATCAAAAGCAGGATATAAAAAGAAAAATAGATTAGCTATTTGATGAAGACAAACAATCAGATAAAGAGGATGATTTTTCAGAGGGTAACTCTTGCTAGGACAATGATTTTTCTGACAACAATGAATTGGTCAATCTTGATGCAAGTCATAATAGGCATTGAGGAAACTAATGTGATGTTACTGAGGTAATTGTGGTCCAGTGATCAAAAAAGTACAAAAATTAATAGTTATGTTCAGACAATCACACACACAAAAAGGACGATATCTTACAAAATATCTCAAAAAATTCTAAAAGACTACAAGACTAGATGGAGCAGTCTTTTGTAAATGCTTCTACCGGTCTATTTATTAAAAAATTGTATACAAAAGGCATTAATAGACATAAGTCTATTGGAAGTTAAGTCATTAAAAAACTAGTCTCAGTAAAAGTAACAGTTGAGACCCTTTGCTGTCCGAAGGCTAGTTTGTTTACAGCCAATGTTGTTATAACTTTATGTTATGACATCATTGTCTAAAAAAAAACCTAAGGATGTTAACAATTGTGTTGTTAACAAATTTTATAATTCAAAAGTTGCAATCATTTGTAGTTCTTTGAATGCAACAAAGGCATACTGATGTAAGTGGGATCCTTATTATCTGCTTATGTGTCTTAATCTAAATTTAAACTTTCTGTTTCAAATGAGGAACTGCTCCAAATTGTTTCTAATTATACTGGCTCTCCATCTAAATCTTTTTTTTTTTTCTCTTAAAAAAAAAAAGATCAACAGACAAATTTAAAGCTTAAACAAAAGCACTTTTTCCCAGCATACTAATTTGTTGCGAGATGCTGCGGGTGACAATTTAAAAGGAAATGCTGTGGTTTGAAAAATAGAGCAACAGGTGGTGATTTTTTGCAAAGAGTGTATTATTTTTAATGACTATTTAACCAGGGGCTAATCTAGATTGTTTAAAGTCCTCTCCTCCTCTAAAGTGATTTAGGGGATCCATTTACAGCTCTTGCAAAAGTATATTTTTTTCATAAAGTATAATTTTTTCTTTCTCAATTAATAGAATTGAACATTTTTGTGCAAACTACACTGTAAACTACTTTTTTTAATTTTTGCTCAAACTCATATATATATAATATGAAATTATTATACACTAAGTTATTGTGTAATAATTTTTATATTATGTAATATTAATAGTAATATATATTTCTGCTTAAATAATATTTCACCAATAGCCCACCAACAGTAGATGGTGCACTAAATGCTCTATACATGTTGCACCAAGTTTAAATTTTGTTAATACTATCCTGAAATTCTAGCGAGTACTTGAAATATGCATTTTATTTTATAGGTTTTATTAACTTAGTATCATCAGCATAAATAAAACATCTAGCTTCGAGTTCTCTCAGTAAGTCGTTTATGTATAATACAAATAGCAAGCCTTCCCAGGAAGGTGCGGTTGCATGTGTTGTATGTCCGCTCCAAAAGTAATTAATTTAGAAAACTTGACCACGTTTTTATAAAGTAAGCGTTTTAATAATTTAATGAAAAAACTAGAAAAGAAACTGGAGAATCAGCAATACTTAAAGAAAAGAACTAAAGACTATTTGAAATAGAAATCTTAATAAAATATGCTGAAAAAAAATTTATTAATAAAAAAATAAAATTGTTGTCAAAAAAATAATACACCTAAATAGTTACTGTTTTTGTTTTCTTATTATTAAAGCATTTGTTATTTTCCACAACTAAAATTGATGCAAGTCGAGGAAAAAAGTAGATGAGAATATAACTAAAACAAAAATATTTTTTGATATTTTTTTTGTAATTTTTTTGTCAGTATATAAAGGAAATACATTTTAAATTGCGCTAGAAACACAAACAGTTTTTAAATTTGTTTTTTTAATGTTTTTGCTAAACTTTACTGTTTCTATCAATTGACAGGAAAGTGAAAAAGCTAATTGCTATTTATTTTTTTTAAAATAGAAAGCTATTTGCTAATTATTTAAATTAAAAACTTGTTAATAATATTTTTTTTTTAGTAAGTTTTTAATTCTTCTTTCTGTTATTAGCAAGGTCTTTGATCAACAAGTTCCTCACATCTCATCTTGAGTCAAATAAACTGCTGTCAGATAATCAATATGGTTTTCGATCCTCTCGCTCTACGGCCAACTTGCTAACTGCTGTAACTGAAAGATTTTATCGTGCATTAGATGGAGGCGGTGAGGCTAGGGCTATTGCTCTCGACATATCTAAAGTTTTCAACAAAGTTTGGCATGCTGGTCTTCTCCATAAGCTTGCTTCATATGGTGTTTCTGGGAAAGTTTTTGAGATTATCAAATCATTTCTTTCTGACCGGTTTATTAAAGTCATCCTTGAAGGCCAACACTCTTCTTTATTTCCAGTAACTTCTGGGGTTCCATCCTGGGCCCTGTTTTGTTTCTTATCTACATAAACGATCTTCCTGACAACCTTTCATCTAAAGTAGCTCTTTTTGCTGATGACTCAACTTTATACTCCTGTCTTGACAAAAAGTCTTCTCTTTTCGATTGCCTAGAACAAGCAGCTGATCTTGAATCTGATCTCACTTCAGTAATAGATTGGGGTTCACAGTGGCTTGTGAATTTCAACCCAAAAAAAACCCAATTGCTTACTGCAAACAACTACCGTAATATGGTCAACATTCCTATATTAATGAATGGCAATCCTCTTACTGAGTCGTCGTCTTTACAAGGTTCAAAAATGCCATGTAAATGTTGTTGGACCTGGACTATCTGCTAAGCTTAAACCTCTTTCCCATCGTCGTAAAGTTGCATCTCTTTCTTTTTTCTACAAATACTATCATGGTCACTGCTCAAAGGAATTATCATCTCTAGTTCTATCAATTAAAATTCATTCTCGTTTTACTCGTCATTTAGCTAAGTCTCATTCGTTTACTGTATCTGTCCCAGCATGCTCTAAAAACTTTTATTCATCTAGTTTTTTTCCCCGCACTTCAATCCTTTGGAACTCTCTCCCATCTTCATGTTTTCCTGACTCATACAACCTTCAACTTTTCAAGTCTTCTGTCAACCGTTTCCTTGCTCTATAACTCTGTTCTTTTTTTTTCCTAGTACTTAATAGTGGTTGCTTGCAGCCTTGTTGGGAGTGAATGCAAATAAAAAAAAATGAAGCGATGCTGCAAATTTTCTGGGCTAGTGCATTGTTAATTTACTGAACCTTCTTAACGACATTCGAACCTATTTAAAACTTTTGTTTAAGTTTTTAAATACATTTTTTAAAGAGAACAATTGTTATGTTCATTATCTCTAGTAATTCGTATTAACATTAGAAATTGGGCAATATAAAAGAAACAGTTTCATACATGCATCAAATGCTTTAAATACATTTATTATAGAAACTATGTTATTTTTTTATTTAACTTTTTCCGCCATTAACAAAATTTATTAATAAAATAATATTTTTTACAAATAAATATCAATTTATTTTCTTATTTTCCTATTATATAAGTATTGAGAAAAAAACGTCAAATATATCAAAAACTTTTTAAAAGTGAAAAAGATGTAAAAACATATAAAAGAATAAAAGTAATAAACAAATAAACTTAATAAATGAATAAGCGTAAGAAAATAAATTTAACAAAATTTCTTATAGTTTTAGCATACATAGCAAAACAGTTTTTTGACTGATAAAAATCATGAATAAATTGCATATCAAAACTTTCAATTGTTGTTAAATTGTTATTAAAGATGTTTTTTTAACATTAACTCTAAAAAAAAAGAGTAAAATAGTTGTATAAAAATTTTAGAAAATTTTTTTTTTAACTTATTATTTTTTCCAAAAGTAGGCGATTATTGGTCATTGATCGGTTGATCGGTTGAAGTATAGATCCTATTTTACATTGACACCATATTTTTTCTATGGTAGTTTCACATAACTGTTTTCTTGCTTATTTGTTGTCAATTTTGTGTGGAAGTGTGTCATTTCAGACATATATAGCTAGTCCGTTGTCATGACTAGCTATATATGTCCGAAATGATATCTACTATCTATATTGCATTTGAACAAGTTACAGTTTAATAAGTTTGAGCAAGAAGTTGAATGAAATCATGTTTCCGTTATACATATTAGATGTGATTGATATTGTTCAATCAAAACTGAAAGTTCGTCTATTTTTTTCTGATTCAACAATGTTGCATTTGTGTACATACAGTTTAGTCTTATTTGTGTCAATTTTGATGAAGTTTGGTAAAATGTTTACTTTGGGAATTTCTGTGGAGAGCATGGTTTCTTTATTTTGTTACTAGTGATTTTTGTTACTTTGGACAGAAAATTGATAGAAATTGATTGTTGTTGATATGGTTGATGTTGATAATATTGGAAGCAGTTTTGTTGTTAGTGTGGATGTTATTGTTGATGAAACTGTGGTGGTCTTTGTTGAGTGTTTTGATAATGTATATGTTTGCATTCTTGCTCATCAAGTTGTTCTTTCTCTCCAACACAGTTGGAACAACCTGTACGTTGTTGATAATGTCTGTTTTTATTAAAGCTGGATGTATTTGATGTAATAGAGGTTGAACTTGGTGGTTGCTGGTAAAACTCTTTAATTGTTGTTGACTGCGTTGTAGATTTTGTAATTTCACATGTTGCAATTGCAACATGTGAAATTACAAACATAATGGGTGTTTATTTAAATCTTCATTTTGGGTCCTAGTGACATCAGTGCATTGGACCCTATCACTGCAAATGACAAAACGAAATGGATTGTTTAATTTATTAATGTTTAAAGCTTCAATTTACTTGTTTCTTTGCTTAAGGAAATGATTAAACTCTAATTTTTTAGCTGGTGTTTGGTCTAGACATAAACATCTCTTTGAATCTAGTATTTATTAGGTTTCTAACAAGTGATAAAACCTCATTCCTGATTTTCATATCTACAAACTCCACTAAAAGTGAAGCTTTGGTGTTTTCTGGCTGGTTTTTATATCCGGTTTGTTTTATATAACTATTTTTCTTTTTATTCTTCAATGCTATTTGACATTTATATTTGTAATGATGGCTTTTAAAATTTCATCTAATTACTTTTTGCCATCTATTCTACTTCTTTTGATAGTAAGCTAGTTGATTTTATCACCCCAAATAATGAATTTATTTGCTTGGTTTTTGTTCATTTTTTCATTAGTTTTTTCTAATGTGTAAGTTTTAACTGTGATTATCAATGCCCCATTCCCAAATACATGCTATTTTATATACTTATTATAATTTTTAAATTAATAATGAATTTATTTAAATTAAAATTATTTAATTATTTAAATATATATAATGCAATATAGTTCTGCATCTATATTTCTTTTAATTTCTCTAAGGAGTTTTGGAATATATTTGAAGCCAAGTGACTATAATTAACAAATTGTTTTTTATTTACAGAACTTATGTTGTAGATAGTTTGTTCAGGAAAAGCTTAACATGGAAATATACGATGAAAGTGTGTTAACTCCTTATGAAATTGAAAGGCAAAACAACATCATAAGTAATTATGAGTTTATGAAAGCTTGTGGTATGTTAATCAATTTTTTGTGCTTTTTTATTTTTAAAACTGTCTAATTCCCCATCCCCTCCTAGGGACTGGTGTTCAAAACAGCTAGTCTTGAGCAACTTCTCTATAGGGAAGTGAGGCCTCACTTCTCAAACTAATAAACTTGTTGAAAATAAAGTTTAGTTAATTCGACACATCTTTGTTATATAGAGTTAGTCAAACTGCGAACATACTAGTTGTCTTAAACATTCCTTTTCTTCCTCCTTTATATGCATTTTGTTTTTGGGTAACCCGCCATCCATATACCTGCGTATTGACTTGATGAAATCAAGTCAATATGCAGGTATATGGATGACTTTCACGCAGGTATATGGATGACAGGTTATGGATGACTTTCATATAGTCATATAGGCATATGGATGACTTTCATATAGTCATCAAAAACTTAATGACTATATGAAAGATCCCAAAATTTATATTATAGTTTTTTTTATAAATATACTCAATAGTTTTAGGCGAACATAATGAGCATGTTGGAATATTCTGGGTCTCTTTTGGTTATATTTAATATATCCTAATCTTTCTACAAAAATTTGATAAAGCATTATTATGAATTTTATATTTATTGAGTAAAAAAATTGTCACAGTTTTAAGACATTGTTATATATAAACATAAATATAGAGTTTTATACAATAAAGAATATTTGTTTCAACAATTAGCAATATATTTTAAAGAAAAGTGTATAAGAATAGATTGCAACAATTGTACACACTTTAAATAAAACATGACTGCTTTGAACATATTTTTAATACGTAATTTAGAATGCGTTCGCCAGGAATTTATAATTATTTTACGTTGTTGTAAAAATGTTTTACATTGTATAAAAATCTCAAAGAAGCACAGAGCTACAGAGAAAATTTTTTTTTAACTAATAAATTTTTTTTTTTGAATTTTATAAAATTAAAAAATTAAATTAAATTAAATATAGAAGTCTTAATTATGCTAACTCATTCATTAACTATTTTCAAAACAAAAAACTTTTTTAATACTTCTACCCAATACTTTAATCGTGCAATCTTTAAAAAAATACTCAAATAAAACAAAATAACTATATTTAATAAATTGAATCGTATCTGTTTATAATAAAGGTTTGTTAAGATTTTTTCATTAAAAATTAAGTTCTTTAACTTATAAACAAACGCAAAAGTATTTTCATTCTATGTATAATTACAAAACTCTTTATTTTTTTGTTTGTAAGCTATTTAGTAGAATAATAAAATAAAAAAAGAATAATTATGAGGTAATCTTTGTTAATAAAAAATTTAATTTACTTATTGAACAATATTTTTATTTATATACCAACTTAAATAAAATGTACCAACATGTTAAATTATTTTAACATGACTTGTGTCATTTTTAACGGTAGGGTAGGGCACCTGCCCATTCGGTACCATTGGTTTTGTATAATATTTTATTTTGATAAAGACCTTATAACTCACATTTGATTTTAATAACGTAAATCTTCTCTTTTTCTGTGATCTTTTGTCCATCAAAATGCAATTCATATTTGAACTTTTAACAATTTGGAGAGAATGGAAATATACTAGGGTTTATATACTAGTTTGTCTTATTTTATATAGAAAAATACATAGTCATTAGTAAAGAATAGAGACTGTCATTAAACTAAAACGTGCCTTTATTTAATGAAGTCTGTAATGTGTGCGTGCATAATGAAACCTCCGTTATATAAATATATTCAACGTAGTATTAGTGTTATCATCGGATGTTATAGTCTACTCGTGATTTTTTTAACTTAATAATATAACTTGATTTATGAAAAAAAAAAAACTTATTGTATTTCACGCAAAAGAAATTTAACAAATTGTCTTCATTCAAAAATTGTGAGTAAGAGATTACCTTTTTTTCTTCTATGCCGGCCTTCAACCTCCCACATAACTTAAAGGTAAAGGTACCTTTAACTAAGAAGAAAAACAAAGAGTAATACTTAATAAAGAAGTAATTTTTAGTACAATAAAAATAGATTGTTCACTCATTGGCACATTTTTTTTAATATCTCGAAAAAATGTCTTGATATTTTTGTTGTCATGGTAACAAAAATATAAGGACATTTTTTTGAGATATTAAAAAAAATGTGAATCTTTAACTACAAATATTTTGCAAATGTTTTTAATAAAAATTCAGTAAAAAACTCTAAAAAAAATTATATTACAAAAAACATTTATATTCTGTATTAATATATTTGGAATATAGATTTATTTAAAGGTTTTTAGTGAAAACTATAAAAAGATATTACTTTTTACTAAAAACATTTGCAAAAAAATTTGTAGTTGAGGATTGACAAACTCTTTTCATATTGTTAAATATTTAGATAAAAGCTTTAGTGTAAAATTAATTGCTATAAAAACTTAAGATGAAATTATCACGATGAAAAGTTACTACAATTATTTTTTCATGACTTCTTTTTTGTAACAAATATTTTTACATATTGTTATTTAAAAGTTAATGTGTTTTTTTTAAAAGTTAATTACTTTATTTTAAAAATTAATTACTTTAATTCATGTTACCGCTAATTTAAAAGTTAAAAATGATAAAAAGTAGCTTAACCAAAACCGTTCTACGCATAAATCGCTCTAGGCGTAACGCTTTAAAAAAAGGCCTGATGTATATATATATATATATATATATATATATATATATATATATATATATATATATATATATATATATATATATATATATATATATATATATATATATATATATATATATATATATATATATATATATATATATATACATATATATATATATATATACATATATATATATATATATATATATATATATATATATACATATATATATATATATATATATATATATATATATATATACATATATATATATATATATATATATATATACATATATATATATATATATATATATATATATATATATATATATATATATATATATATATATCATCTGATGTGTATATATATATATCATCTGATGTATATATATATATATATATATATGTACAATACAATTTGATTTCAAAAACTTGACTACAGTTGTTAATTAGTTTTGAAAATATGTATAATTTAAAGATGGGTTGAGAAAATTGTCTTAACTATGAAAAAACTTAATAAAAAAATTATCATTAAAGAAGCAAATAAATCTTTTTAAAGACTACAAGAAATGAAATAAAAATAACTGAAACTAACTTGAAAAAATTTAACAATCAAGATTTTGTCACCTCGTAATTCTATCAGATTTAATAAGCATTGGATTTTACAAGTATTATTGCAGAACCAAATATTTAGCATCATTTCTGTGTCCTTTTAACAATATATTCTGCCTACAACATGAAAAGATTGCATGTGATTTTGAAAAAAAAATGTTATTGATTTCCTAAAATATTATCGGATAGAAAATTATTGTGTTACAAATTAATTGCAAGTTAAACTTATTGTGATGCAAATTAATTGGTTTATAACTCACTGCTGCTAACAACCCAAAACCAAAAATTGTTATATTCATCTTCTGTTGTTGCAGGGCTCAAATCAAGTGATCACGAATTGTGATATCTGTAAATGCTGTTTCATTAAATTTTTAGCTTTTCTAAAACCGTAAACTCTGTTTTTATCACAAACTCTATAATAAAAAAATACTTTTTTTATTATAGAGTTTGTGATACAAACTCTATAATAAAAAACTCTATATTAAAAAAAAGTCTTTTTTTCTATAACTTTTTTTATTTAATTTAGTTTTTAATATAACTGGTATTTAAACATAATTAAAAATATGTAAGTTTTGACGGGTTATTTATTTTTGCAGTTTTAAGTTTTTTGTTTTGTTTTTGCAATATGATAAGTTGACCATTTCATAAGTTGGGTATATAAAGTGTGTTTTCTCTAGTTACAACTATTCTTTAAAGAATTTAACTTTGTTTGGTATGAACTAGAATATTTCAAAATTTTGGCTGAGTGCTTTTAATGGGTACCAAAGGCATATAGTGAATAGGTTTGAAATAATGCATTTTCCCCATATTTGTAAGGTTGCCTGGAAATATTTTTTTTGTTCCACATTGTACAGCATCAAGTAAATTATTCGCCTCAACTTCAAAGCATTAAAGATACCTAACAAAAAAATGAATCTCTCTGATCAAAAAACATCAATTAAATGCCCCAGATAAAAAACAGAATTCACATCAATAAAATTTGCGTTCTTGTATAACTGAATTGCACAAAGTTATCTAAGAGTTGGTGCTAGTGTTTGTTTTTTTAGATTAAAGCGATGAAAATAGCATAAAATATATACACATGGAATAGTGTGCGATTGCACTCTGTAACTAATCACTTTTATAATTTTTTTTATACAATCTGACCACAGCTGTTTTAATATCTTAAGATTTTAAATACAATAAAAACTATTGTCCTAATGTTGTATTTTTTTTAAATCAAGCCTTTTTTCTAACAATACTAAAAACAAAATAAATTTGACTTTAGTGTTATTTTAAAGTTATGTTAGTACTCATAATAAACAAAATTTACCAGTTATTTGAATTGAGATTTGGTCTTGTTAATTACCTAATGTTTTCATTTCTTTGTCTATAACAAATAAAACTTTTATTTAAAATGTCATTAATTTTTTCAGAAATAACTTTGAAGTCTTTAATAATAAGTACATGTAATGCTGCCACTTTCTCCCCTAAACTAAGTTCTAAGTAGAGTTGCTAGCAAATCAGGGAAATCAGAAAATTCATGGAAATTTAGGTATGATCAGGGGAAATTAGGGAAAAAAGATTGATTTAGCTAGAAATCAGAGAAAATCAGGAAATTTTCATATGTTTTATAGTAAATAATATTCATTTTTTAGTTAACTAATTGAATAATTATACAGTTCAAAAGAGTGTTTAAATATATTATATTTGATCATTATAAATAAAAATTACTTTTATTTTAGTCATTTATTTACAGTATATACCAAATAAAAATTTATGCAAAACTTTTATGTAGGTTTGGGTGGAACCAATATTAATATTTTAAATGAATTTATTGGGTGCTTTTTTGTGTAGAAATAGCTGCAACATGTGAAAATTTTCAAAGTTTTTTTAAACCATATTGTATTTTGATTCTCTTTTTTTAGAACAAATTAAAATTTTTAAATGACATTTTATTTCAATAAAAAAAAAAGTTTGAATAATCTATTGTTTAAAAAATGGCTGGTAAATGGCACAGATAAAATGTCAGCCAAGTGCATAACATGCCAAGTTCAATTCAACTTATCGAATATATATCAGAGAGCCGTGAAGACACATTTTTTATTAAACTTTTGTAATGAGAATGGTCTACTATATCAAAAAATGTTTCATGATAACACAACTGTTAAATCTTATGAGATAGGTAGATAAAAACTTGGTTATTCATTTTGGTCTAAGGCATTTTTTTATACATACTTTTGAAAGAAAAATCTGGATATTCCTTTTTATATTTTTTCTTTTGATGGATGCCTGAATACTACCTTATCTTCTTAAAATTAAGAGTTGTAACCTCCACATAATCCATGTGTTTTTAAAACTGCTTTTCAATCAAGGAAGTTAACAAAAGCTTCATGTAACCTTTTCCATGGTTCTCTTTTGTCAGAAGAGCTGATTATGTAGCTGTCACTGAAATAATGATAATTTAACTTTCATTAAATTGACTTTTTTGGTTACATTGCTAGTATTTTGCAGAAAATCTTAGTGAGATATCAGACAGACACCCCAATGATTCTATTTCTTTAAAGATTTATTTTCAACCGATTAATGCTTAATGAGTTTAATAGTTAAACAAGATGTTTTATGCAGCATCATCAATGGGAAGCAACTTTAATTTAATTGTCAGGCAATTAATCTTCTTTTCTTGAAGCAATTAGTTACATCAGTTTCGATTAAATCCTATCAAAAAAAAGAGCTGATTTTGTTATACAGATGAAATTTGTAAAAGATCAGCTTTTACTTCATCTAATTCTTTTTTGCTTGCATATCTTTTCAAATGAATGTGACCTAGCTTTCACACAATTCTTGAATTTGTTAGAAAAAGTAATTAAAATTTAATCTTTTACCAGCATTAAAAAAATGTCACACTAGAAATTATTTTTGACCATACCAACTTTGTCAAATACCAACTTGAATGGTTTCAAAATTTGATCATACCATGATCAAATTTCAAAACCATCAAAGTTGGTATTTGACAAATTTTTCTCAAAAGTCTTGATAGTCGTTTTTCTATTAAGTCATAGTCAAGCATTAATTGAGAGGGGCTTTAGTATAAATAGTAATATGTATAGCGAAAAGATGAAAGAAAAGTCACTTGTCCTTTGTGAAAAAAGAGGAATGATTATCAAAGATCTCTTGATATCTAACAAGTTGAAGGCTTAAAAAGTAAAAATTAACAATAAAAAACTGTTTGCAATGCCTCGTTGAAATATCAATAATATCTAGAGGAAAATAGAAAATTGTAAACAACGTTTTTGGGGGTTTATGTTGAAGTTTTTATGTTAAGTTGTTGAGTAAAAATGATAGAAATGTCAGGGGAATATAAGCAAAATTTCATTGGAAAAATCAGGGAAAATTAGGGAATTTTATTCCAGAATTATTTTGGCACTTTGTCTAAGATATTCGGCAACTTAATTATTAGAACAGGTAATATCAAAAGGGTTATTTAAGTTGATAAAGTAACAGTTTCTGTTGTTCAAAAAAATAATAAAACTAATAAAATTTTTGTAAATATATAATTGTGAAATTTTCCTATAGACATAAATTAGTAAGTAAACATTTGAAATCTAACTTTGTTTTTAAAAATAGTAATACAATAACTCATGAAATAACTTATAATATATGAAATTTAATTTAAAACATTTTTTTTTTAGGTTTACCTGTTAAGCCCTTGATTTATGTCAAACAAAACAAAGTAAAATTAGAAGAGGTTTACAATTACAATAGTGCTAGTGACACTTCTGAAAGTAATCAAGAGGATGAAGATTGGAAAAGTTCAAAAGCAAAACATAAATTATCCAATTGCAGAGTTGTACCAGGTACATTTATTTAATAGATTTATGTTTTTATATACATCTTCAATACAAAAAACATTATCAAGAAAGTGTATTTAAAAATATGTTGTTTTAAATTTGAGAAATTTAATTATTTATAAAACCAGACCAAGATATTATACTATATCTTATATATCTAGAATAAAAACATTACATTTTGTAATTTAAATCAGGTTTTATAACATTCAAGCTTTAGATGTAAAAAAAAATTTTTACATCTAAAGTTTTGTAAAAAAAATACTTCTATTTTTCAGCTGTTGACACTGTAGACATAAGCTAAAATCTTAATTCTGCTTTCCTAGGTTCAATGAGATGAGCAGTTTCCCCAATCAGTTAATTGACTAAATAGTTTCAAAATTTTTTAATTTTTTAATTTTTTATTGTAATGGGTAAAGCATAAGTTATTGGACAAAACAAAAACTGTAATATTTTATAAACAAATAAAGGTAGCACTCTTGAAATATTTTTTTTCTAAAAAAGTATTTACTCTTGAAAGAAAAATTAGTTATTTTTCATATCATAAAGCTCCATTATCTGCAATAGATCTCAATTTTGCTTTGACATTTTTGCCAATTAACTAAATAGTTTAAATCAATTTCTTAAAGGATTTTCCTAGATAAGGCTTTTCAACCTTTAGAGTCAAATCCACATCTACATTAAAGCCAACACTTTCTGGTCATATTTCTAAAATATTAATATTAAATTACTTTAGTAATATGTTTAATTTAATTATTATGATGTTTACATTTTTGTTAATAATAAAATAAATTTAAATTTTTTGAGAAAGGCTATAGAATAATTAAAACAACGCTATATTTCATAATTTTTATTTAAAACCAAAGCTTTTTTTAATTTCTTGGACTTCACATACAAAATATTCAAAAAAAAAATCATCCACCTTGATACTTTTACCCACTGATACGCTTTTGGGTGACCCCCTTATCATGCCTGTGTAAATGACCCCATGGTAACTAATTTCCAACACTGAAAATCACTCTCAAAGATTTGACGCCAAGCACGCATAATCGGGCTTGTTAATAATGTGTTTCAGTCTCACAAGCGAAAAATATTGCAGTGGGTGATTTTTTTCATTATATGCACTGAAATAATATAGGTATTCAATATGTGTAATGAATATAATATAGAAAATTTATTGATAGAAATAGTTTTAATACAATTGCTTTTAATACTACAATTAGTTCTAAAATTAATAATAAATATTATTGCAGTTAATGGTTTAGGGAGAAAGAATTCACAAATTCAAAAATTCACATTTTAATTGGCTTTTGATAAAAAATGTTTTAAATGATTAATTGAATCAATCATAAATATTATTTTTATATTTAGATTCAAAATATTTTCATTACAGCTTCTAATATTGTAAACAAATTTATTTTACAAAGTTGTGAAATGTTAAAGTTGTGAAAGTTGTGAAATGTTAAGTTGTTAAAACAAGACCAAGGAAATGTTTTAAAATTTTGTTTTAGAATTATGTAAATTTTATCTTTTCTACTGATGTGATTATATTGTGATTAGTAAATCTATCCATTTTTACTTATCTATGAATCTGATTATTTTTAATATTTTTTATTTTTTGTTGTACATACTTTATTTGTATTGCCTTTACTCACATTAACGTTTTTCATTAACATAAAATAGTATTATGTTTACATTTAGATTTTACAAGAAAAGTTAAAAGTCCAAAGAAGTTTTTAGAATTAAAAAAGCAATTAAAAAAAAAGACTGTAAAGGTTCACTTACAAATATTTTTTTAAGTTTTGTTTTTTAAAAAAATTAACAAAATTTAACACATAATACACCTTAAAAAGTAGGCATGCAGTTGCTAAATTAAACTAAAAATTAATTCACTAAGTATTTATTGTAGTAGATCTAAAGAAACTATTCAGCTCAAAATTTTAAATGTTTTACATGTGGGAGAATTTAGCATTTTCTCATGTTTTAATTGCCCTGCATTTAAATATTTACTGTTTTACAATTGCAGCACTTCATCTAATCTATTATAATTATTATCTAAATAATCTATATAATCATTAATCTAAAATACATCAAAATTTGTCTATCAATATTTAAATTGTAATTCATCAATATTTGGCAATATACAATTAAGTTTTTATAGAGAAAGATTAGATTAGCTACTTATTTATATTCCATCAACTCAATTCTCCATTGTCAGGGTTTTCCCACTTTAAATACATGAGCCTACAAATTAATAAAGTTCTTGTAATTTTTTTGTCAGAGATTGGTGCACTCAACGGTTTTTTGATGCCATTATAGTTCCAAAATCTAAAGATTTAAGACCATAATACGTCAGGATTATCTTCATGCTTTTAAATAACAGTGACACGGTACTGTCACGTCCTTGGTAGTACCACGCTCAATTTGTTTCTCCGTGCAGCAGTCTCATTTGTCAAGGTTCGTGTTTCAAAGTTTTAGAGTTGAGAAAGGGTAATAACCACAATTCAATAGCCTCATCGCCTGTAGTGGCTTTCTCGGTTTTGATGAAGTAAATATAAAAAAAAAAAATTACACTAATTTTAAACATTCACATTAAAGATCTAGTTAAATTTTATATATAATTACACAGTTATAATTATAATTTTATATAGTTAAATATTATACAGTTTATAAATTATAAACTCTTGTTTTACTTCTCATTTTAAAATTTATTTCTATTTTGCTTTGCACTAACATTTTTTAAAACAGTTTAAACCATGGTTTACACCTATTAACCTTTTTGGATACTAACATAGTAGTGTGCATTTGTAATACTTAACTTTGTTACTTTTATGATATATTTTTATTTAATTATATATAAATTATTTTGTTTGTTGAAAAGTACAACTGATTTATTTGTTTTACTGTTCATTGTTGAGTCATTAAATTGGTAGCAGAATCAATCTTATTCTAAAATTCATCTATTTTTAGAACTAGATTAATTCATATTTTGCATATAACAGGTTTCAAACAATTTTTTACATTGTCTTGACTTGTAATGGTCTTTTAATCTCTCTTAACCCAAATGAACAATGCCTTTAATGAAGATGTTGTTATGTAGAACACGTTTTTTAAGTTTTGAAGAAGTTGTTTTGTGGATTTGTAGAACACATTTTTCATTTTTTTATTTTAGTTTTAAACAAAAAGATAAAAATAAAAACAACAAAAAAAAGCATTTCATTTACATTCTGAATATAAGAATAAAAACAACAAATAAAAAATTATTCATATTCTGTAAAGAATAATAAAGTAAAAATGACAAAAAGTACTTTTATTTCAAATCTTAGTACAGTGATTAAAATAAGTTTGGCAAAACAAATGCTATATTTAATTTTAATAAAATAATTGAAATATAAGCATATAACAAAAATTTTGACCAAATGCAGATTGGTGGTGTTAGGGTGCCCTGAGTGAGGTTCATCTTTAAGGCCTCTCATTAACTTTTTAAAATAGAATAGCCCAATTGGCAACTGTACTATATTATGAAAATGGTCTTCATAATAAAACACTGATTCATCAGTTATGGCTTGTTCTGAAACTCAGGGTAGAGCACAGATATTAATATATGCTTGTTCAATTTTTTCCTTTTTTAAATTTTTCTTTTAAATTTGTTTAATAAAATATAAATGACTTTTTTAATACACAATCAAAAAAATTTTAACAAAGTATTTAAAATGTTCATAATTAAATGCTGTTTAAGATATCATTTAAATATTTATTGATTTCCGAAATTAAAAAAAATTTTTTTTTTTCTATTTTAGAAAACTGAAACAACTTCATTCAAACGAAAATATGAAAGAACATTTCACCCTGAAAATTTAATACGTAAAAGGCAAAGAATAAGTAAATATGAAGAGATTAAAAATGAAAGATATCCAAAACGAGGAACTAGGAAAAACTACAAAGAGGCTGATGTTCCTGACGAAGATCATTATTTATGTTAGAATGTTGCTTTTAACACTAAATAGTATTGTTTTTAGTTTGAATATTTTTAAAACTTTTTAATTCCAACCAATTTAATTTTAAATTTAGTTTGTGAATCTTGCTCAGAATTTTTTTATGGTGACTGTCCTGAACATGGGTCATTACTTCCATTAGCAGATAAAACTGTGAATTATGATGAAGTTCAAAGGTCGGTCGCTACTCTTCCTGATGGGATGGTTATTAAAGAAAGTCTTATTCCACATGCTGGTCTAGGTGTTTTTGCTATTGAAAATTTTGATGTTGGTGTGAGGTTTGGACCTTATCAGGGTAAAAAGATTCGTCCAGATATTCCAAAAGAAGATCTTGATACTAGCTACATGTGGGAAGTAATTTTTTTTTTTTTTAACGAAAATATTAATTTTATTCCTTTAAACTATATTTAAACACGCATGTGATTTTTCTGAAATTTTATTCTACTTTTGCTTTGATATCAACTATTATAACAGACAATCCAAAAGAATATTTGGCTTTTAGTAAACAATAAAACTAGTCAATTTTGCTAATGAAATTATCTAATAATCTAACATAATTATATCAGTTGACACATTAAAAAAGTACCGTGTACCCAAAAAAAAATGTATTTGCTTAAAACGTATTTATTAGAATGGAGCGCAAGTAGTAATTTTGGTTAACTAATGTAAAAATTATTAACTATTTTTATGTCATTCATTTATGTCTCGAATTACTGTCAAGCTAACTACTAACAGCAATAACAAACTTGATTAGCCATAACTACAGGCTGAATTGCCAGTAACAACAAACTGGATTGGTAGAAATGCAAACTTAACAATAAGTTAAGAACTGTTGCAATTGCAAACTAATAATTGCACAAACAAAAAATCAGTTTGTCTGCTTTTATAGTATTATCAGGTTTAAAAAAAAGGTTTTGAAATAAAATGTTGGTCGATGTTGTTATTTGTGCAATAAATTAACTTTTTTTTATTGTCCAAATGTAGACATTGGTGCACCTCTAGTGTCAAGTAATAAAACATGATATTTAACATTTACTGCTATGCAAAATATGGTATATATAATATACAAAATATGGTATATAAAATGATATAGTAAAAAGGATTTATATTCAGTAAAAAATTTTATATTTAATATACAAAATATATTTAAATGTTATGTAGATTTGTAAAAACAAAATTATTTATGTTAAATTTGTTAACTACCATATCTTAATGAGAATGTTTATCAATTTTGAAAAATAATAATTTAAAAACAAAAATAAAACTAAGCAAAAAAAAAAAAAAGTATTAATTCTAGTTTTCCTGTAATAATTCCAGTAAAAACATTACTATCTTTAAGATTGGGGTGTTTTTATCCCGGAACATTAACCACATAAGCTTTTTATTGAGCTCTGCTGACAAGAAGTATTTTTTTAGCCACTATAATGTGAACATATCTCTATGGGATTTTTCTGTAAGCTCAAGTTTTTCCATTCTTCTTACCTTTTTCTCACTCATTTAAAGATAGCTAATAAAGCGTGGAGAAATATATTTTTTTATTCGGTACTCACTATTACATGACAATCAGAAGGTGCAGTCTTAGAACTTCTGTTGTTTACATTGCCTCTTAGTTACCTTTGCTGGTTGTCAACTACATCAATAATGGGGTAATAGTATAGTGGTAGAGTATTTCCTTCATCAGCAAGCAAGTTCTGAGTTCAATCCCCACCACATTCCTGGTAGCACCTCAATTTATCAAGTAGTGGTTTTGATTACAACATACTGCAACATTTATGTGCAAAAAAGTTCTTTTAATGTTGCACCATCAAAGGCTTAATATAGAAGGTGGTTTTTTATGCTGATTTTGATAATATGACTCCAGTCATATGTTGGAGTTTCAAGGAGTTGGTGTGTTAAACATTTAAAACTTCAATATACCAGAATATAAGTTCAATATATCAGTTGGAGTTTTAAGGAGTTGGTGTGTTAAACATTTAAAACTTCAATATACCAGAGTAGATATATCCTCAAAATGGTCAATACTTTATTCATTTCCTGATGAGAATCTGGTATTTACTCTACATAATTTGTTTGCTTTTACTCAACCATGATATATTTTTATGCATATCTTTTTTGAGTTTATCACAGACAAGTTCTAACGTTTTTTAAATTAATTTAATTGTTCATTTTTTTGTTTGTAGTTTATTTATTTTTTACATAACCTTAATTATTTCATATCCTCTTTCTATTTTATGCGTCCCTTATCCTAAAACTTTATGACCTTTTCATTTTAGATCCCCCATTTTCAATTTCTTTTTATTATTCATCTTGATGCATTTAGTTCTGTACACCTCCTCCCATTTTAACAACTAAATGAATGATAAAATTCAAGTAAACAATTATTAATAAGTTTTTGCTTGAATTTTTTGTTTTCATACTGGACATTTGTCCAATATCTTTTTTTAGTTTTAAGGTAATAACCTTTTCTTCTACTTCCCTGAGGCTTCTGTTGCTGCATGTGTTTCATTAAACTTTTATGCATGGGTATAACTATCATGGATTATTGTTTTGGAAAGAACCAGGTTTCAAGTTAAGTCTATTGTTCTCCAGAACAATAGACTTAACTAATTATAAATTTTCCTTTTTAAATGCATGTCCATAACTCTTTGTATTTACATGTACACTCCACTGCGCATGTTCCTATTTGAGTCAGTCGAGGTATAAACACTCGACTACGTCTGTACTTATTCAAGTCATTCGATGTATAAGCATTCCACTGCACCTGTTCCTAAATGTATATGTCTATATGGCCCTAAATGTAAATGTCTATATGATGCATGCGTGTATGATTATATATAAATTCAAATGCTTGTTTGTTGGTATATAGATACATATTTATCTCCTTCATAGGCTTTATGTTTAGCATAGCTTTTTTTATTGTCATAGTATTCTTTTTGGTTCTATTCAGTATATGCAAGTTAAGCTCATTTGTATAAAGTGTTCTTTTAATAAGTTGAAGGACTGACCCTGAATAAATCCCACTCCTGGACAATATTTCTTCTTTTTCTTTTACTTATTCTTTTTTATTGAATACACATCTCTTAACATCAAATTTCTTTAACCATTTAAGCCTTTTAATATATTTTCTAAGTATGGGATACACATACATATACATATTTATTGCACATGCATGATCAGGGCCTCCATGAGCTTTCATGATCCCCTAAATCATAGCAGTAATTAAGTGGATATAATATGAGTATACATACAAAAAAATTCAAAGCATGTTAATGTTAATGACTGGCATTGTATTAAAAAATTAGAATTAGAATGTTAATAGATCGGAGAATAGGCCAAAGACCTGTTGAGTATATTTGGTTGAGAAATCGTAAAGTGTTTCCAGGAGTGAAAAATGAAGAGTTTGTTAAACTATGAAAATATCTTTCCAAAAGTTGAATTATATTTCAAGCTTTAATTTTTACAGTTTTTTGATGCTCAACCAGATAAATGAGAATCTTAATGAAACAGTTTTTATTATCTCAATTTTAAATTAAATCTATTGAATGACAAAAGCACTACTTTAAAGATATTCACTTCAAGCTTATGTTTGTGAAACTCATGGAAAAAACCCCATATCCAGATTCATCGCAATTTTGCTATCATCACTTGCTCTGAAAAAAAATTTGTTTTATCGCTGAGACAAGTCATCTACTCATCATAAGTAAATATTTTGGTTGAAATTAAAGCAACAGCATTAGAGCAGCATTAGTTTTCTATGGTTATTTTGTAATTAGTTTTTTAGTAGAATCTGAGCTGAGGGTCTGGTGCCCGAAAGCTAGTAAAGCAAGATCTTCTGCCTAGCAGGACTGCAGCTGAAAGTGCAAAGATCTTAGGTTTTTATTTATTTATTAAAACAAATAATGATATATACACATTAAAAGCTTGGTTTTGATGAAGAAAAGCAACACAAGGTGTTCTTATGCTGATGATTGATATTGCTGCTGCTAAAGTAGCTTCATTAAAATTCTTTCAAAATAGTTTACTATAGATTATATATTAATTGCATTCTAGTGGTTTGCAACACGGTTTTTAAAAAAGTTTAGACAACCTTTTAAAAAACTTTCTGGTAACCTTTGATTAGTTTAAGTTTTAAAAGAGGTCATTTTTTTAAATTATAAACTGAGTTTGATAAAAAAAAGCGTAAACAGTTTTTTATCAAACAGTTTTTACTTGGTTTATAAGTTTTTAAAAATTTTTTCAACAGCATTTTTCTGTGACAAGTTGATGGTTATAGTTTTAAATAATTTTTTTCTTTAATAATTTATTAAAAAAATAAACTTTTTAAAATTATAATTCTTTGATAATATAAACAAAGCAAGGTAATTTCTAATGACATCATCATGTAATTTTTTCTTTTTACTTAAACTTTTTTGGAAAATTTTTAATTTTTTCCTGTTAGTCTACCGGCATATTTTTCACGATCAATACAAAAGAACTTTGTTCTAAGTATTAAACTTATTAATCTTCTGGAAATATAGCTCCTAAACTCTGTCTACATGAAGTTATTATGTTTAGTAATATTTAGCCCTTTTTTTTCTGTGTAAGTTATTATTTTTGGGGGAAAAAAAATGTGGGAAATAACAGTAAAGTTTATAATTATGTTAAGTTCAAAAAGATTGTGTGTAGTTCCATTTTGTGTTAGCTTGTTTTTAAAATTTACTTAATAAATGGTGTGACAACCTAGATTTTTTTATAATTTTTTTATAACTTTGGATAGCTTACTTGATATTGCCATTAGTTTATTTACTTATGGTTCAAAGTTTTACGTTGCTAGAATAAAGTTATTTGTTACTAATTTTTTGTTATAAAATATTACGAAATGTAATTTAGTTAAAATTATAACTTCCTAATGTATTCTGTATATGTATTCTGTTAATGTATATAATGTATTCTATAACTTATGAGTGAATGGATTCTGCAGTATTTTACAAAAACTCTGTAAACTTTTTTATTATCTCTTATCTTTTGTTCTGAAAATTTTTTCTGCAACTTTTTATATTTTACCATCATAATTATGTAGGACATTCAATATTCTGTAATATAGTTAAAATATTTTACATTTAGCACTTTTATAAAGCTTTATATTGGATTTCTCAAATATCACTATATTGTTTGTTTCCATTATAACTACTGCATTTAATCATTTACGATGTGTTTACATGTTCTCTTACAATTTTTCTTTTTTTTCTTCTAATAATTGTGCCTCATTTAAAAGCTTACATTTAGACTCTATTGCACAGAACACTGCAAAACTGTTTGATATGTTTTTGATTTTGTAATTTAAAGACTTTCAGTAGGTTTGACCTAACTGTCTA